CACTCTCAGCCTCAGGGGGAGGCAAAAGCAATCCCCCCCCCCCCGAAATCTTGCCAAGAAAACCCTGTGATAGTGTTGCCATGGAAGGCGCACAACAAAGCAATCACGAGCTCCATAATCTCCTCCATTCTGGAAACATTGAGGGTCATTGGATGCCTTGGGCAAGCCACCCTCTGTCTCAAAGGAAGACAATGGCAAAAAATGACGTGCAAGCACAGAACACAGCAACAAATTATCCTGTACATTTCCATCCTCCCAAATTTAATTTTTTTCCACCCTGTACCACCTACTGCTCCTTATTCAAGCAGAATTAAATATTTTTCAGACCTGTCATCTCTGGTTACCATTCCTCCATCCTTCTCTCTCTTGTTTTGCTCCTTGAACATCAGGAAGCAGATGTCCAAAAATAAAAAGAGAACATGCCCCCCTCCTTTCTTCTTTCCCATGTTCTCACACCACTAGAAACCTCCTTAAGAGGGGTATGCTTCAGTTTTATAATGCAGATGAACCCCTTTCTTCCCCCACCCTGGTCTTACCCTGCTTAAAAATCCAGGGCTGGGAACACCAAGCCAGCAAATTCACAAAGCTGACAAGAGTCTCCAGTCTTTGCACAAGAGGAGGATTTGCAATTTTAAGCAGAGAGGGATAATGATGATAATCATAATTTTAGCAAGGCTCTTTCCCTCGCCAGTGAAATGGAGGATGGTGGCATGGAAGGAGTGGGGGTCCGGATGTATCGGACCACCCTGCCCTGAGCAAACAAATGAGCTTGAAGGTCCATAATTGCAAGCCAGCCTTTTAAGGATTCCTCTAGAGGATTCCTGAGTAATGGAGGTCGTGCAAGGTCAACGGAGAGCACCAGAGAATAAATCTGAAAGCACTAAGTCTCTCTCTCCCTCCTTTTAAAGCCATACATAAAGGATTTATTTTGTGTGAGGGACAGCTCTGGAACAATGCTCTCCCCCAACTCAACCCTCACAGAGGCCCACAGAACAAAATAACAGGCCCTGGATGGAGCGTTGTGTAAAGCAAGCAAAGTCATTCTCTTGGGATGAGAAAGAAAGAAAAGGGTGGTCATGCAAAGTCTTCCCTCCTGGGAGGTTTGGGAAGATAACAAGCATCCGGTTGACTTGGTAAACTGGGCAAACTAGATTGTTAAGCAGAATAATATCCCAAATCCACCGAAGAGTCATATCTTTGTTGGGCTGACCAAAATGCACAAAATAAATGTTGGGCATGTATTGGGACATGTATTTTGTGCAATTTGGCTGCCCAATAATGGTATCACTGTTTTGTGAATTTTAGATTTTCTTATACTTCGCTATATGGCCAACATGGCTACCCCTGGATATGTTTCCTAGATTGTTAGCTGTTTAGGGAGTTCTGGAGATAAGAGCCAGAATCTCTTTGCTTTTTCTCATGCATGTTATATGTTTCCCTATGGAAATGGTTAGCCTTTTTTGTCTGATGCAGAACATAGAATTGAGAAATCATAGAACTAGAAGGAACTGTAAAGGCCATCTACTAATTTCATGCCATGCAGTTCAAAAATGGCCATTTGAAGACCTCCAAAGATGGAGAGTTGACCACCCTCTGAGGATTTCCATTCCACTGTCAAACTGCTTTACTATCAAGACTTTTTTCCTAATGTTTAGTTGGACTGTCTTTATCATTTGCATCCATATCATAGTCACTGGAGCAGTGAAAACAAGCTCGTTCCATCTTCTATATGACACCCCTTCAGATACTTAAAAATGGCTCTCCATGCCACCTCTGTGTCTTCTTTTCTATGAGCTAAACATGCCCAGCTGTCTAAGCCATTTCTTAAACTTATGGAAGTAGGGTTGTGCATGTGGGGCTGTTGCACATACAGATGAATATTTCACATTGATGGATGCAGTTGGATGTACAGTATTTGGTTGTGCATTTGGTGTCTTGATTCAGTTGGAAAACATTGTCATTCAACTCAAAGATTGCCTAGCACAATTAATACCCAACTCCACATAAAGAGATATAATCTATACAGTGTCAATGTAGGATCTTGCTCTTGCATGTAGCCAAGTTCCTGCTGAACACTTTTGTGTAGCATAAATGTAGGCTTGCTTTGGTATGCTATGCTCAGCATTGCAGAAGGAATAGGTCAACTGCTTGTGAACATTAGCACAAGTGGCTGAACAACTTGAGCAAAGGTGTTCTGGCTATTGCCGTTCCACTGAGTCCAGTCTCAGGTTTTGACCTGGAAATCTCAGGATCTAAGACTGTTCTGAACTGGCAATCCTAATTCAAACCATCTTTTAAATAAATATTTCATCTCAAAGAGGCTTGAAAGACGTGTTGGGTGATAAAAGCTAGAAAATACTAATAAGGAGATTGAAATGCTAGCAATTGCTAAACAGCATCAATAGGAACGAGGCCAGCACTGATCAGAGATTTTATTTTTAATTTTTAAAAAACCTTAGCCTACATCTATTCTCATTGGAGGCAGATTATATTGAGCGGGTGAAATCCAGCTCACTGGTGGCTATTAAACTCGACAGTGTAATAAGTCCAATATGTATTTCAATTTACTTTGCAGTGACTACATTTAATTTACTCACGGCAGGGTTCAGAATGTAATCTTCCCTGTTCCCATTATTTGTTGAATGCATTATACATAAAGTTGCAAA